ATTTAGGACAAGTTTGAGGTGAAACAAATCAGTCTGGATGATGTTGAATGCAGATTTCAAAAGCTGGAAAGCCTTAGCAACAGTTTTAGCTCGACAATAAACAACTGTGTCGTCAGCATAGAAATGTATGGATGCATTAGGGATGTTTTTACCTACATTATGTATGTAGATTGTAAAGAGGGTGGGTCCTAAGACTGAGCCTTGTGGTACACCATTGTTGACTGTTAAATAACTGGAGGAAGTACCATTTTATTGAACACATTGCCTCCGGTCTGAAAGATAGTTAGAGAACCAACCAATGGTGTGTTCTGAGAAACCAATTTCTGAGAGTTTATGACACAAGATGTTCTGATCCACAGAGTCAGAATCTTTAGACAGGTCTAAGAAAAGTGCAGCACAATAATCCTTAGCATCCAGTGCTTCAACAACATCATTAAGAACCTTCAGTGAAGCAGTGGTTGTGCTGTGTTGTTTCCTGAAACCAGATTGATGTGGAGGTAAGATATTAAATGAGTCCAGGTAATTTTTGATTTGAGAGTTTATCAGTTTTTCTAGAACCTTGGCTAAAATGCAGAGTTTAGAGATTGGTCGATAGTTGTTCAGTGAGGTGGGGTCACCTCCCTTCAGTAAAGGAAGAACAAAGGCTGTTTTCCAAGTGTCTGGGATGGAGTTTTGTCTCATGGAGAGATTGAAGATGTGGGTCACAGGGACTGTGATGATATGAGCAGCCAGCCTTAAGAAATAAGGTGGGGGGAGCCATCAGTGTGCTAATGATCCATTGTTAGGCTGATGGTCCTTCTTGAGCATGTGATCAGCTGGTTTTGGTTGTCAGCAGCAAAACTGGTTGATCCACTCTGAGAAGGTGCTATTTAAGAGACTGAGCTGAATACAGCACCTCAGACTGAGGAAGTCTCTCGGACGAGAGACGAAACGTTTCTACATTTTTTTGTTGATTTGCTTTGTTTTGGGTTTTTTTGAATGTCCAGAGGACCAGATTTAACTTTTTTAGATCTTAGATGTTATTACTGTTTTTCTTATACATTTTATTGTTGGATGTAACTG